AAATTACACGATATATTCATCCTTATTCGAATGAACGAATGAAATTACACGATATATTCATCCTTATTCGAATGAACGAATGAAATTACACGATATATTCATCCTTATTCGAATGAACGAATGAAATTAAACATTATGTTCATCCTTAGCACCCTTTTCGATCTTTTTTTAAAAGCACATAATTTCTATGTGAATTTTACCGAGAAAAAACCCACAAAGAAAAACAAAAACAACAAAATAAATGATTAAAAACAAAATATAAAAACACAACAAAGCACACACGTAGAGTCCATGTACTTCTATTAACTCTTTCCAACACACTAAAGGGCCGTGTCGATGTGTTTACCTTACTCAAACAAAACACGATGGAAATTATTGTTAACTTGTTCTTATATTTTCTTTACCATATACATAACTCTGTATAAATGACAGTTAACTTGTCGAAGTTTTTATCTTTACACTATCCATAACTCTGTATAAATGGCCGTTAACTTGTTCTTATGTTTTCTTTACACTATCCATAACTCTGTATAAATGACTGTTAACTTGTCGGTGTGTTTATATCTTTTATCTATTCAAAACTCTGTATAATGACCGTTGACTTGTCGATGTTATGTTTATCTTTACTGTATAAAAACTTATATAAATGAACGTTAACTTGTCGCCGTTTTTTAAAAATCTTTATTCTGTTGAAAACTGTATAAATGATTGTCAACATATTAGAGTTTTTATCTTGAATCTGTTTTATCTCTGTATAAATTACCGTTATCTTGTCGGTGTGTTTATATCTTTAATTTGTTCTAAACTCTGTATAAATGACTGTTAATATGTTGATGTTTACATCTTGAATCTGTTCCCAACTGTTTACAGAAGGCCGTTAACTTGTCGATATTTACATCTTGAATCTGTTCCCAACTGTTTACAGATGGCCTTTAACTTGTTGATATGTTTATATCTTTAATCTGTTCCAAACTCTGTATAAATGACCGTTAACCTTTCGATATGTTAATATCTTGAATGTGTTCCCAACTGTTTGCAGATGGCCAGGCACAGCAAAGATTTCAGGCGGAGAAGTTTCTGGATATGTTGTCAAGGACTTTTGGTGAGTGAGTATGTGGGGGGGGGG